TTTTTTTTTTTTTTTTTTTTTTGGGGGGGGGGGGGGGGGGGAGTCCATTCCCTAAGGCTCCCAATACCTTCTGTAAAAGGATACCATATGCCTCTGATAATTTCATCTCCAAGCTTTTGACTGAGAATCAAAATTGATTCATTTATTGCGATTGATCATCTTACCCTGCAGAAATCGGATCCTATTTTATTAAGCAAAAATTCTATTCTTCGCCCCCTATTCCGAAAAAAAGAAAAAAAGAACTTATTCTCATTCCATTGACATAGTTGAAGTCACTAAATTTTAATTATTTCCCCTTGTTTGGCTCTATAGAGGGTGTTGTTGCAGGAGCTAAAGCAGCAGTGGTGGCCTCCATTGCAAGTGCCATTCCAACGGTATGTTGCTTCATGTGCATGGTTTAATAACAAAATTGCAATACGTGTTTTTTGGGTGATTACCCACATTCTGAGTTTACAATGTATCATTAGTTCAAAGGACGTATGGTTGGGATAGTTCTTGGTAATAAAAATTAAAATATGGTAGAATGTGTGTGTATAGACTCATTCATGTAGGCAATAGGAAAAGAAAAGTTAAACTCAAACTCAAACCTTTTTATGCTCACTTTTTGACATGCAGTTGGCCAGTGCAAGAATGCTGCCTTGGGCAAGAGCCAATCTCAATCACACTGCTCAAGCTCTCATAGTCTCCACAGGTTGGCACAATTGCCTATTCCCATGCATTTTCCCCCATAATAGTACTACTGTTACTGACTTGATGAAAATCTAATTGCGTGCTATGACAGTGGCTGGAGCAGCATATTTTATAGTCGCCGACAAGACGGTTTTGGCATCCGCACGCCGGAATTCTTTCAAGCAGGGCTAATTCTGTAACACAAACATAACTGAAGCTATATCTTTCCACTGAGCCTTTGTATTTCGGTTATGCCCTTATGCTACTGTGTGGCATCCGCCATCTGTATGTGTGAATAAGAATAAAGATGAGATTTAGTTCCGAAGAGCATTACGGCTTTGGTGTGCTTCTTTGATCAGCTTGGCTGGTTGCACTTTATGTCTTTATCTCTATCAAAATGCATATATTTTAGCATTCCCATAACCTCCAACTATAACATTGGATGAGTTCATATCCTTCAGATTTAAACTCGCTAACAAAAATAACCCTGCATCTGAGGTAACATTGCATTCATTTGAGCATTCCATAATCCCTCATTGTAATTAATATTTGTGCATCACCGTAATCGATATAGGTAATAAATATAAGGAAAAATTTTACCCACACCCCTCTTAGTTTATTATATCTTCAAGGACACTCCATCTATTATCAAAAAATCACAAAAAAAAAAATTCTTCTAAAATATCAAAAATGCCCCTACATAAACCTCAAGTAATTTTTCTACATAAATTTTATTAAAATTCGAGTTGTTAAAATTTAAAAAAAATGCGGAAATAACAATTTTAGTAAATAATTTGTTAGTAAATATTAATTTTTTATTTACTAATTCGAAAATTTTAAAAAAAAATTCGTGCCTATTAAAATTTGAACTTATTTGAACTCTATCCGAGTTATTAGCGTCGATTAAAATTCTCTTTCGAGTCGATTAAATTTTATATTTTTTTACTTATTAAAATTCGTGTCAATTAAAATTTGATTTATTAAAATTTGAATCAATTAAAATTTATATTTTTTTATATATTAAAATTTTGTGCTGATTAAAATTCAATGCGAATTAATTAAAATCTGATTTGAGTCCATTAAAAATAATTTTAATTAGCCCAAATTTTAATACGTAAAAAAATATAATTTTTAATTAGCTCAAATTTTAATATGTAAAAAATAAATTTTAATCAGCTTGAATCGAATTTTAATACGTAAAAAAAATTAGAAAACAGAGGGGGTATCATTGAAAATATACTTATCTAGAGGGAGTCTCATTGAAGATATATATTTATCTAGAGGGGATGTGGATGAAATTTGTTCTCAAGTATATCATAGGCAATTTAGTAAAATTATATTTTAGTTAATATTTTTAATCTAACGGGGTGTCATTGAAGATTCAAAAAATACACGGGGTGTCCTTGTAGATATGATAAATTAGAAAAAATGTGATTGAAATTTTTCCTAAAAATAAAGATGAGATGGTTCGGTCAAGTAGACTTACTCCACTTTGAAGGTAACAACGGTGACCGGAAGATTTTATTGTTAATATAGGTAATAAATATAGTAAATATAAAGATGAGATGGTTCGATCAGGTAACCTACTCTACTTTAAAAATGGTGGCCGACGGAGGACTTTTTTAGTAAAGTGTAAGGGGTGTGCAATCTCCTCTCAAGGAAGAGAACTTACAATTTATAAGTACAAAATCTTGGTTGAAGTGGTGGCGTAATGGAATAGGTCACTAATCCTCGAGAGAGGATAGCTATAGCTATAAGGATAATTCAAGATAGTACTTCCTGGTGATTTTTTGAATCTTGGGTTGGGCCAAACCATGAGCTAAGCTAGACCTGTTTTTGCAGATAATTTGGATTGACTTAATTAATTGGGTTTGACCCAATTAGATCTGAGCTCATCAGTAACATTCGACGAATTGACATCTTTCCAGTATAATGCCTCCAACAAACTGTGATTGGTGCCTAAGGCACCACACTTGGGAATACATATCAATAAGTGAATTAAAAAGCTGAAGATTAGAACCAATTCCCCAATTCAAGAGAACCTGAATGAGCACAAGTAGAGAGAACACTCAACATCGTGCTCTCATTGGCTTTTATTTTTTCTCCTCGCATCTCTTGAAAGAAAGCCAATGCTTCTTCAAACCGGCCGTTTTGGATATTACCCGCAATAATAACATTCCAGCACACCAGATCTCTCACAGGAATTTCATCAAAAAGCCGGCGAGCATCGTCCAAACAACCTCTAGATGTATACCCTGTGACCAATGCCGTAAAAGACACTGCATCTCTATATGAACTCTTATCGAAAACCAATCTAGCACAACCCAGTTCACCATTTTGAGCATACATATTAACTCACTTTCAAGTCCAAGCTGTCAAAACATGTCCACGAATTTGTTCCCCTCAATGGGGCATCCCTAATTTTGTTCAAGACCTCAAAGAAAAGGAAAAGTACAAGACTTCAGCACAATACCAAACAAAAGCATTTTAAGATAACAATCTATTGCTAGAATAGGCGATGAGGTCAACGAGTGTCCTCGAATTATCGTGTTCCATATTATTGGGTGGGTTTTTCAATGGTACTAAAGATTGAGAGAGTTTATGGCGCATAAGTCTAGGAGTATGCTTAGCGCTAATTGGTGTTGTGGAGGCCAGTCTTGATGATTTGAGACTGCACTTGTTTGAGGTTTTCAATGTTTTTGCGGCTTGGAGAGTAGGCTTAGAGATGGGTGGTTTTGAAGGAGTTTGTATGGAGGATCAGAGGCGGGGGAGATGTAGAGAGTGGTGGTGAAGATGAAGAGGATATGCCATTTTTGTGTAATGATGGTTTGTGGAACTGCTTGAAAAGAGAGGGCTAAGGAAAGGTAGAGTTTTGAAATATGGTTGGTAGTTTTTTATAGAATTTCCCGCCAAAATGAAGTGCTATTTATTCTACTCTTTTTACTAACTTTTTTCAAGTACTCTTTATAAGTGGAGTTTGAGAAACGTTAATCGTCACGACCTATGTTGTACAATATTGTCCGTTTTGAATTAAATTCATACGATTTTAAAACACGCTATACAAGAAAAATCTAAATTCACACTCATCAAGTACTTCACACACTTTACCAAAATAACGTCGGATTGGTTCACTACATTAACACCTCAATTTTGCATCATTCAATGACACTTTCAGTCCAAGAAGGAAAATTAAAATAAAACTTTCTTTCAAGCAACTGCATGAGGAACAACTAAAATTGGATCAAAAGCTTATAATTTTTTATGTTTAATTGGTAAGTAAGACACTCTTGACAGGCAGCAGAGAACCACATACTGACTTTTCATACAAATGGAAGTTGATTCTCACATTCATGACTGATATCAGACTGCCCATTACGAGCCTTTTGTGCCCTAAAAACCCAAAAACATCAAATAACTTAAGGGCAGCAATTTTTTGAAGGGCCTAAACCTCAGGACTCATTGGTGACTTCAATAATCCTTCATCTGTAACTGCGAGTGCACAATGAAAGGAGTGCTATAACGAAAAATGAACCCCCTTGAGAATTGCCCAGAAAATTGTGAAATTAATTTTAGCCCTGCTTCTCTTCCATAGAGAAAGATCAAAAAATGTCTAGCGGGCAACCAAGTGCACAAGATCAATTCAGGTTTGAGGTTTCTTGGCTGCACTATTGTGGAGAATCAGCGTGATCGTTAACTTGGACTTTTGAGGGTGATGCAAATAATGTGATCTATTTTTATTCATGAAAAGGATGCGAGACTTTCTGGCCCAGTGAGCACATGATGAGGACACTCAATATATCCTACTGGAACCATTCCTACTAGTTGCATGGATTCTTAGAGTTGCTAATAAAGCCTCTCATAAGTGGGCACAGTGGCCCTGTCGAGATAATTTTGATGGCTTTTTAATTGGTTCTTCTTTTCTCATCAATTTCAGGCTGCATAGGTAATTCTTGTGCTTTTTCTTCGGTTGTTCATTGCTTTTCATGTTTTAGATTCCGTTAGAAGATGATTAGAGGAAAAACAGTTGAGAGAAACTACGCAGGCAATTGAAATAATGCTTTTCCACTTCATTTTTGTCACGGAAGCTGTAAATACAGAAAAAAAAAAGTCTGTTTTTTATTCTGAAAAAGAATTAGCCCATATTATCAAGCAGAATTGTTGAACAAGTATTCAGGTGGAAAGTTGGAGAAGAAATTTGTTCCCGTTTATAAAACAGGTTTGTTTTCTACTCCCATGTTTCTTAGCAGCCACATGGAGCAGTAGTACAAAACAATAATCAACAGCTTTAAAAAATAGATATTTAAAATATAAAGTGGCAAGAAAGAAGATCCATGATCACATTATACCGAATATAAGTTATGCAAATAACACAATCTGATTCCTTAACTGCAGCATTTTGGAACAATAACATTTTTATTGATGATGGAAAAGAAATTTACAAGTCGTTTTCTCTGTTTTTATTATGTGAGGATAACATCTAGGTAAGGGTGTGAGTATGACCAAAAACAACTGTCAACCAAGTGGACCAAAAAGGCATCTAGATAAAGTGTGCATTGATTCATTGCAAAAAATCATGAGTAGTAAAGAGATAATTTTGACAAGGCACAACAAGTATTATTGAGGAGAATTGGCCCCCTTTTGAGAATGGTCACAGATATGGAATAAAGACTGGAGCTTTGTCTAAGGTTTTAAATGTGACATATTCATTTGGTCTGCTAGAAAAAAATGTTGATTAGGATTCTTCGTTATCAAATCCAAGGGCAACACGTCAGTGTCTCTGCTTGCATGGAACCATACACATTTGCCACGTCAGCAAACATGGGCCATACTACCATGGTCAGAAGGCCTCGCCATGGTTCATGTGTGGTTCCTTTCCTGGAGCATATTATTAAGGTGGGCACAATTTCATTGCCATTTTCTGTCCTCTTCCCACAGGTTAGGGCTGCACCCAGTGGCCATCCTCTTCACACTCTATTGGCATACATATGTGCATGGCAGCCTCTGTTGTTGGAAAAATGGAACCATTTCCACTTATTTTCTGTGTAAATTTCCATCTGCTACAAAAAGTTTGGGGGTCCTTGCTAAATTTTTACCCTAAAGAATGAGACTTTCAGACTAAACAGCAATGCAAGGCTCATTCAATATGAAGCACTATCCTGCCCTTAATTGAAAAGTAACAGAATTGTTGTATGATATACAAGCTGTTTAGAGAGTTGTATTCACTCACCTTTTCTGTCTTCTGCTGGCATTTAATTATGATTACATTTCTTTCTTTCTTTTGGTCAGACGAGTTTTACAGTAGCTATCAGCTACCCAATACAGCCCTTCTCCTTTATCCGAGCTTAGGACTAGCTAGCTGTGCATAAGAGTACTGGTAACACTTCGGATCTTAAATTTAAGTGAACACAGCATTTGTTTACCTCTCAGACTGGTTCAGGAATAGTCCATTTCACAAGTTAAAATCAATTCAGCCAACTCAATTGACATTCCAGTTGCCTAAGTAATCGATAATTGTGCCAATGCACAATTACCCTGCTTTTTGTGAGCACATGCATACTCCACTACACAAATATAAAGAATCAAACCTTTTTTCTGAAGGATACAGACTGAAATGGACTTGATTACATTCAAATTATCAGCTGAGGACGTATCTGCCCAAAGCTCTATCTGACTCTATAATTGTAGTTTTGAGGTTAATGCATTGGGTTTCTCTAGTTGTTAAGGCAGATTTTTTGAGATGTTTGTTGATATCTTTCTTTTTCTGTTTCTAGAATCCATTTTTTCTAAGTTATAAATCTGACAAAACTGAATTAAATTGAGAATCTTTGGAAAAGCTGATGCCTTAAGGTAACGTGTTAATTGTGTAGTAAACAATAAACACCATGTGTTAAAGTCCTCTATGGCTAGCGATTTTTTGATTGATAGTTTCATGTACATATGTATTTTAAGGAATATGGCCTCTTCATCCCAGTCAAAGGATGAAAAATAGATTTTTTCTTGCATTTGAAATAAAAATTATCATGTTGCCACTTTATATTCCAAAAGAGCCTAAAGCCAATTTACTACCTTCAAGATTGACAACCAACCATGTTATTGGTCCAGTTTCTGCATAGCGCCGCAATCTTTTATGCGAAAAAAGTTCCTTGAAAATTCCACTGAATACAACTAAAGGTAGTTCTGGTGCAAATTAATAAACTTTATAGTAGGTAATGTCGCAATAGATGTGTATATACGCATACGCATCCAGACACAAAGGACTGAGGATATGAATCTTCAAATGGCTTTTGAATTATTGCAATAAAAGAATCAAAACAAAGAACAATAGAATTTTGCAATGGACATGCATTAAGAGGAATTGATTCCTGCCTGGAAACTTTTACTGGCTCCTTTGGCTTTAAACCTGTCCCAAGTCCACCGGAACTGCATAAAACCTACAAATCAGGAAGGTGTATGTGCAGACTAGATGGAACCCAACCATTCACGTGATGCATGTTCATCCGCATCCATGCCATCCCTCTGCAATATGTTGGAGAGGGGGGTGAAATACCCCTAAAACCAATCTTCCAAATAACAACTTCCTCTCATAAAGCCTACCAGAAAATGGATATAAGAAAGAGAATAATATCTAGTAACCTTTTTTACTTTAATGCATGAAGAATCCTACATAGAGGGTCATAATGCATGAATTCTGCCTGCTATGCATGCACTTGCAGGCTTAGATCTTTAGCAGCCTTCCCTGCTCAATGCTCACAGGCCTAAAAGAGGGTAGCCAAGCAAGAGGTTTATCTAAATCTTTCAGAAAGTTCTATGTCTGAGTCCCCTATTAAGTAAACTACATGAAGCTCAAACAACATGAAAAGGAACATTTAGGGCCCCACTGGTGAAGCCTTACCAAGTATATAAACCATCCCAACCCATTCATCAAAATCACCAACTCCTTCGCATTCTCTTCCAATACAAAGCGATTCATCCTACCTTTCAACTCTCGACTTCTTGAGGTGAGGCCCTTTAGTGAGTAATGTTTTTTCTGTATTGTAGATCATTTCTTAAGTTTGGAAATAAAAATTTCCTCACTTGTTCATTTTTCAAATGCATCCTTATCAAACCCCATTGTTGCAAAATATTGCCTTGAGTTCCAAAAACTGATATTTCAATTGAAAATACTCCAGTCAAGAACATCAATGTTCAGTTTAGCACATGGTCATAATTATCTGATGATTTGAACTGTAGGAGATGCATGATCTTATACACTGCTGTTTATTTATGTCTTTTACACATTTATATTTCCTGCTTGGGCTTATATTTTTTTTCCCCTTCTGCTTTCAGATATCGAGACAGGAAAATGAGCAGGGAAGGAGATTGGATGTGCGGTTCATGCCAACATTTAAATTTCAAGAAGCGTGATTCTTGCCAGAAATGTAGCTTCCCTAGGTTTGGTGGCGTGACTGATATGCCATCACCACACGGAACAAAAAGAACAGAGGTCTTGGCCGGGGACTGGTACTGCACTGCCATGAACTGTGGAGCACACAATTATGCTAGCCGGACAAGTTGCTATAGGTGTGGTGCAGCTTCTGTACACGACCCTCATGTCCCCCCTGGTTGGAAAAATGGTGACTGGATGTGCTCCAGGTTAGTTCACAGCAGATGAACCCTTTATCTTCTTCCAATGATGCCTGAGCATAAGGAAAACTAAACATGCTAGAAGCATATATTTTGTTAATTCAAACTGCATTCTCGTGAAATGGCTTCAACAGAAATTAGTGTGCATTACTGAATGCTGTTCAATTACAGTATTGCTAGCAACATCATCTACTTCATGAAATGGCTTCAACAGAAATTAGTGTGCATTACTGAATGCTGTTCAATTACAGTATTGCTAGCAACATCATCTCCTTCATATGAATTCTTGTGGATGTCATTTCCTGCGGGTGGTTCCTTAGAAGTACATTCTAAACAGAATTTTTATGCAATAGCGTTGATTGTAATTAGCCTGCATTATTGAATGCTGTACAGTAGCGAGTAACAGTATTGCTAGCAATTACAACTACTTTGATGATAATTTCCCATCTGAATTCATATCTCATTTCCTGGGATTCGTTATTCTAATATAAGTGCATTCTAAATTTGACCAGGCCAGGATGTGGAGTACACAACTATGCCAGCAGGATGGAATGTTTTAAATGTAAAACACCAAGGGATTTTGGTGAGCAATCTGAAAATTCACTATGTTTTATGTATTTTTGATGCCTGAGAACACTATTGACATTTTTCTAAGACATTCATTCATGTTACTTTCAGGAGGAGCAGTTTGAGGAAGATGAATTGAGAGAGACAATTGAACTTATCCGAACCTTTTCCGCACTTCTAATCCTCCAAAAACACCTTCTCATTTTATTGTTTGTCTTCACTTCTTTCTCTTGCCTTTCCTCTTTCTAGTAATAATCTCTCTCATTCATCCTTGACCACCATTTTCAATGGCACTGCTATGTATTTGCCCCATAAGGGGTTTCTAACTTTATTGTATGTTGCATGGTTTTCTCAATTACATGAAGTTAATGAAATCCCTTCAGTTTTTTCCATAATAAGTATAATAGCATTCCCTTCTCTCTCTCTCTCTCTCTCTCTCTCTCTCTCTCTCTCTCTCTGTGTGTGTGGAGTGTTGGACAAAAGCCAGGACCATGGACCAACATGAGAGATTAAATTCAAGAAATGCAATAAAACAAGAGCAAAAATATAGCAGAATTAGATATGGGATTCAAAGGATCTCTATGATTAGTTCACTTCAAAAGATGGCCTTGTTTTTGGCAATAAAATTGATTCCTTCAAGCATCGAAACTCAATTATATGTAAATCATTAAATAGATAAGAACCAGATGCTCTACTTTATGAGCACATATGAAGGGAGTCAATGAACAATGGGGCACAGTAATTTGTGCACTGTGACTATACATTTTTTCACAACACAGTTGGGTCATTGCTCAAAAGATGAGATTCATGGTTCAAACTGTGCTTGTTCGGTTCCATTACCGTTCCATGTTGCATATAAACTAAAAGTTTCACACGACACGGCAAAGACATTTGACTTGTCTCTTGAGTCAACTCAAAGTCATCCAATTCATTGTTGTCTAATCAGCGATACAATTTCACGAAACTACGATGTCATTTGTATCTCTCATCATGCTCAACTACTTCTCCTATATAGCATATTATGCATAGTGCCTGGATACCTTTCCACAACACCTACCAATGCATCTCATTACCCTTTGAGCCGGTGGCCAATACCACAATCTTGAAATATGGACACTAGTCCATAAAGACCTTTGACCAAATTGGGAAAATGGATTAAAATAAGTCAAGGAATTTTTAAGCATAGTTGGGTTCTTCTTTCCATTGACTTGATTGGAATGTTGAAAATGTGTTGATTATTAATTATAAAAATAAATTGTTGTATCCCCCAATACACTCCATTGCTTAACTTTTGAAAGATTCTTTCATCATATTACTAGCTTTATACTACTTTAATGGTCTTTTTTTATGTTAGGCGACTCAAATTCATGTGAATTGGTTCTATATCGTATCTCTTGGGTCCATAACCTCACTCAAGTAGTAACAGGAACAAATTGTAAATTCAGACGTTCTGAATTCGAACCTTAATAACTTTTTGGGGCGAGAAATTTATCCTTCATGTATACTCGACACTACAAGAAAAGAGTTTTTTTGTATCAATAATTTGCCGACTCAAAAGGTCACATTGCCGTCGCAAATACTATTTGCGATGCCAACGTGATCTTTTGAGTCAACAAACTATTTGCGACGACAACATGATCTTTTGAGTTGGCAAATTGGGGGTGACAAGTAATAGGGGACGCAAAAGATTTTGCATCGACAATTAACCGTAAAAAAAGATTTTGCATTAGCAAAACCCGATGCAAATGCATTGTTGCAAAAAAACTTTGATCCAATTTTTTTTGTTTGCATAAGCAATTTTCTGTCACAAAAAAATCCATGTGCGATGGTTTAAATCTGTCACAAAAGGTATATTAACCACAGTTGGGGACCGTCTCAAAAAACCCCGTTCGCAATGGTTAAAATCTGTCACAAGTATACTATTAGCCACAGTAGGGGACCATTGCAACAAATCCATTTACAACGATTTTAATCCGTTGCAAAAGATATTATTTGCCACAGTAAAGGATAGTCTCAACAAACTCATTGACGATGGTTTTTAACCATCACAAAAAATATTATTTGCCACAACAGAAGGCTGACGCAAAAAAAATGATATCACTCTTTTGACGTTATTTGCGTCAACAACTTGCTTTCATAAATAATTATTTTTTAAAAACATAATTCTCTCTTTCACATGTTTCTTTACACATATTTACATATTCAATGCATTACCCATAACATCATTTGATTAAAATAATAACATCATTTGATTAAAATAATAATGCACATCTCTCAAAACAAAAAAAATAAATTTAAAAATAAAAATATATTCAGCATAAGTAAATAACATCCGAAAATTTAAAAATAAAATATTTCAAACTACGTAATGAAGTTGTCAATGCATAATAAAAAAATTTAGTTTCCTAATGCACCCTTTGCTCTGTAATCATGCACAATGTGTACTCTTTACTCATGCGTCATCTATTCTTTATGCTATCTACTCATTTGATAGCACCTGTAAAAGATACGATTTGTATTATTTATTATTGTCAATAATATGTTTGGTTGCTAATTCTGTACATATTAATTAAGATAAAACATACATCACTATAGATGGCCAAACAACACTTTTTTCCACTGCCTGCCCAACAGTAATTACACCAATAAAAGGTCTTATCAAATAAGTATTAGGCACTATTACTTCCTCAACATATACGTTCAAAAAATATGGTCCCAATGGTACTCTCTCTACTTCTTTCGATGGGTCCACACTAAGAAGGATTCCCTTCGCCACTATTTGCCTTGGTAAATGGGAATTAAGCAGGTCTACTTTCGTATGAATCTATAATTACAAGTGTTGACAACTTTTAGAAGCCAAAACAAATGAAATTAAAAAAAATTATAATTGTAAATCTATGTATCACACATTGTTATACACTATGTTTACCATACACATGCACTTACCTCAGTATTGTTCAAACTTAGTGCATGCTTTTTTTTTTCTACCCTAACAACACGTGTCTACACTTGATTTATTAGTGAATCAAAAAGGGATGCAAACTAATGTAAAGCCCCTGTATATATAGGTAATGAAAGTTACAATCAGGATAAAAAAGTAAAAAAAGAGAAAACTCTAATAAACTAGGTTGTTTTATCTTCAACACTCTCCCTTAAGCTAGGCGCAAAAATGTCAACTAAGTCAAGCTTGACAACGGAGTCCCGAAGAATGGATAAAGTGACAGATTTGGTGAAAATATCCTCAACCTGATCACTGGTTCCCACAAACGATGAAGTGACAATACCACTGCTAACCTTCTCCCGAAGAAAGTGAACATCGATCTCTATATACTTCGTCCTCTCGTGTAATACAGAGTCAGAAGCGAGCTGAATAACATATCGGTTATCACAATATAATGTAGATGAAGAAGTCATTAAAAATTCTAACTCGCAAAGAATCGATCGTAGCCAAATAATCTCACATGTGCCAAGTGTCAGTGCTCGATACTTTGCCTCTGCTGATAAGCGATAGACAACTGACTGTTTCTTGCTCTTCTAATAGATAAGATGAGTCCCTCGAAAAACACAAAAGCCTGTAGTAGATCGACCGTCACACACTCCCCTATAATTTGAATCTGAATAACAGACTAGAGAATCAGTCTGAGATCCTGATGCATAAAACAACTCAAGTCTAGGACAAGACTTGAGGCATCGAACAATATGATAAACTACATCAAGATGAGGCTGACATGGTCTTTGCATGAACTGACTAACTCGACTGACGATGAATGAAATGTCTGGCCTAGTGTTGGCTAGGTAGATAAATCTACTTACCAACCTTTGATAGACAATCGGATCTCTCAACTCCTCACCTTCAGCAGTAAGCTTCAGGTTTGGAATCGTGGGTGATAAATGTCGGTTTACACCCCAGCATCTCAGTGTCTGAGAGAAGATCCAGAACATACTTTCTTTGAGTAATAATAATCCCAAGAAAGTATCACAAAAATTCAAGGTCCATCACATCGAAAGTCTTTCCAAGGTTTACCTTGACCTGCGCAGTCCTAGAAACATCATCTCCAATAATAATAATATCATCAACATATACCAAAAAGATGACACACTTTCTAGAAGTATTCCGTCGAATAAAGCATGTATGATCAGAATGACATCTAGTGAACCCTAAATGTACAACTATATCACTAAAGCAAGAGAACCAAGCTCGTGGTGATTGTTTCAGTCCATAAAGAGACTTACACAGTCGACATACCTTTCTAGCATACTCTCCCTCATCACGAAAATCCGGTGGTGCATCCATATAAATAATCTCGTCCAGATCACCGTGAAGAAATGCATTCTTCACATCCTATTGATGAAGAGACCAAGAGTACTCCGCAGCCAGAGAAATAATCAATCAAACAGTAGTCAATTTTGTCACAAGGGCAAAGGTAGCACCAAAATCACGACCTGGTACCTGAGTAAAACCTTTCGCCACAAGCCCAGCCTTGTGGAGGTCAATAGTACCATCCGCAAGAAATTTCAGGGTGTAAACCTAACGACAGTCAACAGGCTTCAGCCCTAAAGGTAAAGAGACAAAATCCCACATATGGTTACACTAAAGAGCGTTCATCTCCATCTGCATGGCAAGAACCCATTGGGGCTCCCGCATAGCCTCCAAAACAGAGCGAGGAGCCGGCGTATCTGATAAGACCATACTATTAGCTTGAAATGTAAGCCGGCATATCTGATAAGACCATACTATTAGCTTGAAATGTAGGAGACAAATTACCATTAGAAACATAAGTAGAGATCGGATATAAAATCCTGGCGGTCCAACCATAACGAACAACTTGACGACGATCACGCCGCAAATAATGATGCCCTAAATCATCATCCTCCATTAACAATGTCCTATCAGGTAAAGTAACTAGCTTAGTACCTGTAATCTCATCAGTACTAACAACAGGTGCATCAATATGCTCAATGAACTAAGAAGTATTCCTGCATCGCCTGAGATTAAGGGGACATCAGCAGGGGGATGAAAGCGAGGGCGACGAACATAAATCTGCAAAGGAAGAGAGATTGGTGACTTTGTACTGACAAGGATGAATGGTTCTGGAGGAGGAGAGACGGATGACTCTATAGTGATAGTGACCAATGACTCTGACTCCTATGGTAATGGAAAATCAAAGGGAGTATTATCCACTAGAGGGGCAGACACAGTACTGGAAGAAAAATAAGGAATATGCTAAAAAAAAGTAACATCTAGACTG